TATATATATATATTTATCAAGTTGGATGTCTAAAAAAGTTTAAATATTCAAAGCACCATAAAAACTATAAGCAAATAGAAATGTCCCACGAGAATATAATTAAGAAAAAAAATGTCCCTCAAATGTTATTTATCTCAGAAAAATAATGTAGGTGAGCCACCCTATGATCAACATGCATCACCATTGAAAACTTTCCCCATATCAAATCTTCAAGAAACATCATAGAGAACAAATACAGTTTCATTTCCTCTGAAAATTCCGGAGTTGCATCTAAAATTCATATAATCTGTTGGAAAGAAGTTGCTTATGTTGTGTTGGGGTCATTAGTGCATGAAGCCACCAACTATGAGATATGGATTCTAAGGAAAGTAGCTTCCGCATTCTTTTTATTTTCAACTCGGGGACACTTAGATCAGCTCGTGGACTCAACTTGAAGGACGTTCGGGTGTTGGTCTTCAATGGAACCACATGTTTAGTTAGCTTCCAAAATTTCGGAGATGCCACCAAAGCCCGTCTTGTTGACCTCATTTTGGTTAGGTCTAGTACTCTCTTCTATAACTTAAGATATAGCCATAGATTTTCTCTATTGACTATTCTAGAACATTAGTGATGGGACCCACCATACTCAGAAGTTCAAACCACTTCCTGTCTCTTTTGCAAAGTTTTACATGGGTGGCCTCAGACCCTCAACACTTGTTTTGGACGGTTAAGATCAACATGATGAAACTCAAGGAAGTTCTCATAGGATCATAAGGCCTTAGGTAGACTTTGGGTGGCTTTGTCATTCACACCCTCACACCTCACTCTACACATCAATACCTTCACTCACATCACCCCTTACACATACACATCACTACACATAAATCCATGCTCCACACTCCATCCCTACCCTCACTCCACCCAATTTCCACCAAAACTCACCAAATTTCCTAAAATTTTCAAATTACAAAAAATTTTCACCAAAATTCACCAAAACCAATCCTAGCCCGGATCACCCGGGGCTTAATCAAAGCTTAATATCTTGGATTGGTGCCAAGGATCCCAGAGACCAGCGCCAGACTTCCGTACTCTCAGGTTGGATGTCTAGGAAGGCAGTTTCGGCACCTAGGCACCCGAGGTCGACGTCTGAGTGCCGGTCTGACCTGAAACCCTGATTTTCGCCAGGAACGCCGACTGAGGATTTTTTTGATCCGTAAGCTATGAGGGACTCTGTATGAGTGAAATGTAGTCTCATAACTCCATAATGGAGTATTATTGTTGGTGAATCAATGAGGAAATTGCTGCCAGCAGTTGTCCTAAACCACAACGTGGTAAGGTGTCCCAAACCCTAACTTTTCCTGTAGCGTGCGTAGGAGGATTTTTTTACTTCTTATAGCTGTGGGAGGCTTCAAATGGATGCATG